TTAGGGTTTAGGGTTTGGGGCTGGCGGCCAAAAGTCCAAAAGGGGGGAGTACTGGACATCGGGGTTTACAGAAACAGTCCCCTGAAAGTCCATGCCTGGGCCTTGACAAAAGCACCTCCACTAGTCAAGTCCCGGTGCAAGCGGTTATAGGTAGTATTATTAGGGGTACCCCTTAAAGGGTACCCCTTCTGAACCCTACTTTTGGCTCTCTTAAAAGGGGCCTTATTGAGAGGGTCTATATCCCCAAGGGTCCCCCTAATCCTAGCTCCCAGGTTACTGTAAGCCGGGACTTACATCCGGATTTTGAAGCCTTCATGGGTTTTTTTAGGGCCATGCTCCGAGAAGGAACAAGGCATCGGGCTGTAAGGTTCCAGAGAGTCCTGTCTTGAAGGGATTTGGGTTTAGGGTTTAGGGTTTAGGGTTGCAAGGGTTGGTGGCTTACGATCTTAACATCAGGGCCGCGGCATTACGACTCCCAAAGGTGGGGATGGGGGGCTCTGGCCGGCTTTCGCGGCCTAGCCTTTGGATTCGATGATGACCAAAGTCTTAATTCAGGAATTCATTAGGCCAAAGGCCGTGCATATCGTATGGTCTTTGGAGCCGAAACGATTAAAGAGTGGTTATTGGGCTATTGGAGCACTAGGGGTTGCAACAAGTCACAGGGAGATTGTAGAACGTCACAGGGGTGCACAGCAAGAAACGTTTTGTTCGGGAGTGTTTCGGGCTCAGTGGTTTCATCGAGCGGCTTGAGGGTTACAGCCGATGCACAAGTGTCTGCACTGCAACCAAAAACCGTCTAGCACGTTCGTATTCGCATCGCCGCTCGTTTGTATGATACTGCCAGTACTACAGTCTGCTGCTGCGACGGGCGGTGGCGCAACGACGCATTGACTTTTTCCTGCACTGGCACTGCATGCGTTGCCTGCCGCCATTCTTGCGCTTCAATTTCCTCCCGCACATCCCTCCTCTCCTTTTCGCCTTCCTGTGACGAAGCCCTTATATACATATACAACTTTTGACAAATCTCTCGTTTTTTGGGCTCTCGCGAGATGTGATGCCTAAACCTAAACCCTGAACCAAGGGAAGCGTGTGGCCTGATAAGTCTGGTGCACTGTTTAGCTGTTGTGTGGTGCCATCCAATCGGACGAATTTCCCCAAAAACCCTCACTTCGACAGCAGATAAGCAACCTCCCAGTGCTTGACGCCCCGGAAACGAGCTTGTGGCAAGGGTGCATAGGCCACAGCTATTGGGATCCGAGCATTTCTCCGCCTCGCCTCGTGCCATGATCTCGGTAAAGGACGGCGTAAGTGATCACGGTCGCTAGGTGGCGTCTCCTGAGCAAGGAATCTCTCTACTTTCGGTTTTCTCGGATTTCGGTGGCAAAAACCCTTATAAAAACTCGTATCCCTTAAATTTCTGGGATTCTGTGGAGATCGGGGCTGAAAGGTTTGGCGTGAACGAGGCTTGGGCGATGCTGGGCCGCTGAGAGAACCAGAATCCTAAACCCCATATCATAGATTTCAAGCGCTTTTTGCCGAGGTGTAATGTCAACTTGCCTGGGTTCTGAAACAGTGGTCTTCGGTAGTCATCCCGTCGGCTCCAACTGGATTGACCAGGTTTTGGGGCTCATCCGCTTTTTGTCAAGTGCCATGCTCCGTATTTCTCATCCGCAAGCTTACGTTGCACACTGCCAAAAGCCCTAAACCCTAAACCCTAAACCGGGGCTCTGGGTTTGAAGGTTTTGGGTTTAGGGTTTCGGGCCTGACTCAAGAAGGGTGAAACCCAGGGGCTTAGACTGCGCGTTGCGAAATTGCTGAGCTCTGAATGAGATTGAACATCCCTATGTTACACACGAGAGACACGGCAAGGACCATCATCTTGACGCTCTATACTGAGAGCTCCGACCATGGAATCCATCAGTCCGAAGATCAAGTTATAGTTACACTAGTTACCATTCTATTAATCACGATAATAATAATGATAATAATAATATTAATAATAATAATAATAAGAAGAAGAACCATAAATTAACAAATGATTACTTTGCAGCGAGATTGTCGGCTGATGCCATATCTAGCCCCCATGAGGGAAGGCTCAGAATCCACCCCCGAGGAAGTAGGCCCGACATGGCTCAATGCTGGTTTATTAAGGGACAGGATTTAGGGTTTAGGGTTTAGGGTTTAGGGACGCTTAAGCAACAAGTTTTTGGTGCTTTGCCAGAAGCTCAGAAATACATTATCCTATACATTCCTTGACGCTGCTCCTCCTGCTCCCCATCGCAACCCCCTGATGAAACAACAACAGTATTGGTAATGTAGGGACCTGAAAATTAGAACAGGGTTTTGGGCTCCCTTATACTATATTTCTAGTAAGGAACCCCGAAAATGGTATTGGTAATTATTTATGCTTCTATATTAATAGCCCGCCCTCCCCTCCGCCCCCGCGACAAGTGGCAGGTGCGTTCAGCAAGCGGCAGAGCTCCGCAATCAGCTTCCTGATTGCTGCAGCCGAATATACGCACAGTACTCTGTCCTTCGTCTACCCAATCAAACCCGGCTTCCAAAGTACCACAATTAATTTACTCTGAAGCAATGGGGCTAAGATTGTGCAGGACTGCGGGGCCCTGAACAGAGACATTTTTTTGGGTACCTTCCTGATGCTGTCCATCCAATATCCGATCAAGGAATATCCATTTTTGGTTGGGTGCAGGAAAATACTTGGTAGTATGATTAGAATACATTCCTGAATTCCAGAAGATCTCGCGGTCTTGCGCTCTCTTACACATGGGCATGGGCCTCTAGCGGAAGCCTTAACCGTAACTTGGAACTCCCACACCCGAAACCCTAAGCCCTAAATCCGAAACCCTAAACCCTAAATCCCTAAACCCTAAATCCCTAAAACAAGGAAAACCCAAGGCCATTCGTGAAGGCCAGGATCGGGTCGACCAGGGATGGCTGCGATGGAGAGCCTGGGTCCTTGCTTCAGCTTTGCTCGCTTTGCCCAAGGCACCATATTTCCGTATGCCCTGTGCGTCTATATAGATAGATCAAAGTGTGCGTATGTAGACACATATATACAGACATACGGTTACTTCACCCGATGCTGCTACATATGAGCTGCTTTAAGGTCTAAGTCAACTATTATCTACGTCGACGGAGTCTTGGGGGTTGGGGGCTGAGGGCCCGTTCAGAGGGTAGTGAGTCCACAGTATCCTGGGCTCGCCGTGTGAACCGGTGAATGCTGTGCTGCCCTTTCTTGCAGGACCTTACGACTCGGATCCAAATTTTAGTAAGTTCACATCAAGAGGAAAGATGTACATCCTAGGCGAAGAAGATTGCGCGGTCTAGGTTGCATAACCCGAACCATGAAAGACTCCGCCAACACACCATATCCGATATCCGGTGCCCACAGCCCAAACCCCTTGCCTTGAACAAAGGAGTCGTAAGAGTGGACTCCTAAAGGACATGCGCTCAAGAAACGACTCAGTCAGCCATGCTTACGAACTCCACCACAAGGCCAGTGCTCGATCTTGAAACTTGGGTCCTGCGACACGCCGCTCCGAGAGGAGGTGGCTGACTCGGCGTACACGGGCGCCTCCGATCTTGTCGATACTCTACTTGCAGGACTGAGGAACTGAATCTGAATCGGCAGGGAATACTCTTCAGTTGCACTCTGCTGAATGAACCGCTTCGCTTTCGGAGATTCCTCAAAGTCTCAACCATAAGCTGAAACCCAATGTTAAGCGCATGGCGAGCAGCCGCACAGCTATACATGTAGTTGTCGTATGGCACCTCTGACCCTCCCCTGCGAAGTCAATCTCGCTCCCCTGCCGAAAAGGTTATGCCCAAAGAACCCAATACACCTTAATTAAGGAATATACCTTAAATTATGGGGGCCTTAACATTATGATTTAAGGTATATTCCCTAATTAAGGGGTATTGGGTTCTCTGGGTGACGACGTCTTCTGTCAGTCAGTCGGGTCGCGGGTGCGGCACGGCCGGACCACTTTTGTGTAGCCCGGTCATCAGGCGAAAGCACTACCTGATTCTGGCTCCATGCTTTCGCTCGCACAAACCCAAAACGCGGGGCTTCAAGACACTAGAACTGTAGGACTTGACGGCCAAGAAATGATCCTCCCAGCACTCAAGGATACGATTTACCGTTAGCCGTGTGGGGTTCACATTCTTATGCAATCGTTAGTTAGTATGGGTTTGGCTCTCTGGGAAGTTGTGCAAATTGGCTTGAGAACTCAACACGAAACACACAGGTGCCATTGAGAACACGCAGCATTGGGCTTGATGACCACGGTCTCATTGGCGGCAGCGCAGGGTGCTTCCTGAGACACTTCGGGGTTCGAGCTTTCAAGGCGCCCAGATCCCAGTCGGGAACGGTGATGCCTGCATCTGATATAACCTCGGACTTTAAGATAGTGGGATTGAAGAGTCGGCGGGCGAGGGTGGGGACCTCTGCTGTCCAGGCTTCAGAGTTCAAGATATGGGTGCTATAAATACTCTGACTTTTACTAATAACACACTTACATACAAGCATATATACATAGATGCATATACTGTTTTAATCTGTAAAAATGAATCATAAAACGAACAGATACGTATATGTATATATGTATATATATATATATATGTGTGTATATATATATATACATACATATATAGATAGGTGCGTATGTATGTGTATATAGTTACGATACTATACTATACTATACTATACATACATACATACATAACAACTACATATGAATACATTAACATTTGAGTTTGGGGCCCCTCCCGGCCAAGGCCTCGCTGGGACCACTGCGCTGCGAGCCAGGGCCGAACAAAGGCCCCCGACCCGAACTCCTTTCGACAGGAAGAGGGTAACAAGAAAACAACATCGATGCGGCGTTTCTTGCACTAACTTTGTGCTTGGTATTATCATGTCTATCCGTATGATCAAGTTATTATACCCTCAATTATTAGCAATTGTCGGTATTTTCTCTGCAGAGAGCCCCACGGGTTTCAATGGCTACAGCTGCAGAGCCGGGGCTCCAACAACCCTTCCTTGCGCGCACATGGAAGGCCGAATACCCTTTGGTTTGAGAGTTTAGGGTTTAGGGTTTAGTAGCCTGCCATGAACAGGCTGTCATGTTTCACTCTAGCTTGAGGAGGTTGATCGGCACGTCTAAACCCTAAACCCTAAACCCCTAGACTCTGGGATTTTGCGGTTGTCGGTTTAGCAAGCGACCTCCACGTCTCTCTTTCCTTGAAGCCGCAAAACCCAAAGTCCCTATCTCCTCCAAATGGAACTCTAATGTAAGGGCCATAATAATTAGAAAACGGTTTTGGGGCCCATTATACTATAATCATAATAAGGAACCTCCAAAAAGTATTGGTAATTATGAAGGCCCCTACATTACCTCCACTTGCCGATGTCCTGAACCCTCAACCCAGCGCTCTCGGGGTCCTTGGCGTGGTTTGATGCGACAGGCCTCGGCTGCGAAGTGTTTCGATCGGGACGACCGGCAGGATTTGGGACGGTGCTTAGGGGTTGATTTTCTGTTTATGTACTGTGTTTTGGTTTACAAGGCTTCGGGCTCTCATTCCGAAATCCCTAACCCGGAACAAACATGAAGCTTTCGTTGGTGCCTGCAGGGGCGGGGACAGCTGCTGCGATCATCGTCGCTGCTGGCATGGGTTCTGGCGTGACGCCTAAGACGAGGCAGCGTTCCCTTGTTCAAGGTCTTCAAAAGCTCAGCTTGTAGGGGTCAGGGTGGTCAGGCATCATGGATTGGGATTTCACCCCCTGCTGTTTCGGGTTCCTTTCCTTTCTCTGAAAATTCTGGTCCTCAGATATGGGAAACTTTCTGATTTCTGCCCCTAGTTAGAACGACATATTTTCTTGACATTGAAGCCCACTACGGGGACCTAATTTGGACAACCGTCCATGTGAAGCTGTGCAACACTTGCAACAAGGACGGCTCGAAGCTCGGAACACTTAGTTGGGTAGTTCTCTAAAATAGGGTACCGTTTTAGTGTCCTTTTATAAGGGTGCCGTACTATATTTGGGACCCAAAAGGGACCCTAATTTAGAGAACTACCCAGTTGAGTCTGCTTGGATGGCACAAGGCCCGCAAGGCAAATTCAGCTTCCAAAATGGAGACCATCGACAACAACTTTCCATGTGGAGCTGCAGTGGGTGCATGGGGTTGCACCGCTGTCCCTTCTTTGGGTGCTTCCTAATTATATACCTTATAGCACTGCAAGCCCTAAAATGTAAGCTCCCATACTTCAATATCCTTATCCTGACACCTCTACATCATTACAGCTGAGGAATTCCTGAACACCCAAGCCGTCACACCCAAACAAGGAAGGCGTAAGCCTAGGACCAAGAAGCTCTTGCTAAAAATTCTTAGTGGGCACGGCATGGTATATTCAATCCCTACATTCCCGATGTCTTAAACCCTGAACCCAATCATAGGCTTACAGTCAGCATCAGTCAGCTCTTTCTGGCATCCGCGCGGCTCGCTTTGGGCGCAGGCTGAGTCTCCTGCCAACACTCCCGCTGAGGTCGTCGAGACTCCCGGAAGAAAGCGTATACATAAAAGATGCTATCACACACACACACACACACATATATATATATATATATATATATACATATGTATATATATATATATACACACGCATATGTATGGACTTTTATTTGGTTGGCGAATACCCTCAAGCCGTCACCACCAGACAGACCCCAAGGACTAAACGCTTGCATGGGGCTCCCGAGCCCAAAACACGAAAGCTCCAAGCACGCCATAGCACAGGCGTAATCCTACTCCCTCAACCTCAGCTCCAGTTTAGGGTTGTTTAGGGTTAGGGTTTTAGGGTTTAGGGTTTAGGGTTTATAGGATTTAGGATTTAGGGCAAACCCGAAAGCCCCTCGAGCTCCACGAACCCCAAAGCAAATGCTAAGCCTAAGCTGCGCAGCGCAGAATTCTGAGCCCTCCTGTGTCGGAGTTCCCTTTTTCGGGCTCCCTAAACCCTAAACCCTAAACCCTAAGGTAGACCTGCAGAATCGCATCCGAAGCCTCGACTCGGAGGACAACGCCTACAAAAACCCAAGCCGTGAGCCCGGTGCATTGGACCATTAGGGTTTAGGGTTTAGGGTTCAGGGTTTAGGGTTTTGGATTTGGTTCTTTTTTGAATGCCTTTCTCCGTCTGATGGGGCATACCCCTCATCCAGAATCCGCTTTAGCGGATTTCGGAGTTTAGGGTTTCGGGGTTTAGGGTTCATGGGTTTCGGGGTTAGGGTTTAGGGGTTCAGGGGTTAGGGTTTATAATAAGGTACCCTGGGGGGCCCTAGATTCTAAAGCTTCACTACCCCTAAAGTAAAGCACAACCCAACCCCGCAAGGAAACCAAAGCCAACCGCAGCCAGCAAGATGTCAGAGCTTAGGGGGGGGGGTAGGGGCCATAATAATTTTCCCTCTAGAGTTCACAAACTAGACAAGGGTTTAGGGTTTAGGGGCCTAGGGTTTAGGGGCCTTAATAATTAGAGAATAAGGTTGCGGGGTATCTTCTACTATAATCATAATAAGTAAGGATAAGGAGCCCTCAGAATAGTATTGGTAATTATTTAGGCCCCTATATCAGGGGTTTAAGGCAGCACTTCCATGAAACTTTGCGCAACAAACCCTAAACTCTTGAACCTGAACGTGCAGAGATATTCAGGGGCTGAGACTACTCCCACCCAGAAAAATCAGCTTTGAAACCTTACAACACCTATTTTTAGAACCCCACAAGAACTTTTCAATGCAAACCATGAGCAAAACCAGGACTTAGACACAAAATCGGTCCCGACGGTCCTGTCCCCAGAGCTTTGGCACCTGAGGCGGGCGTCTGAAGTTGCCACGCTCGCTGGGTGGCGTGTCCTGGGGGCGGTCTCAGGGTCTTTCGGGGCTCTGGCTCTTTCCCCAAAGGGTTCAAGTACCAATATAGCAGCTACTTAGCAGCTATTTGGGCCCCAAAACTATGTACTATACTATTACTTGGGCCCTTTGGGTTCATGGGCTAGGGACCTTGAGCAGGGTCCCAGGATTGGGGCTGAATTCTTGCTTGGCGTCTTTGCACCTGCCAATTTGCTTATATATTGCGTGGGAAAGCAGACGTAAAACTGACACGTTGGGCCCGGCATCGCGCTCGGGAGTGCGTCGGTCGTGAGGATTCCAGAAAAGATGTTGCTCAAAGATGCTGCTGACTGTGCATTCTGCCGACATCAACAAACTTGCGCCTGGGTTGAACTGCCGACATGGGGCAGCCCTTTTGCAACAGAAAGGTTCGAGGCTCAGGAGCGAGCTAGCCGAGCCAACTAAGTATTCCTCTGTAAAGAAACAAGACCCCATTCACGCGATTTAAGGTATCTGGCAAACTTAGCACCACACTGACTCAATTCAGTCAAAGCGGCCGGTGCTTTCAGCAGGCGACAGAGCTCTGAGATGATGTTCCTGGGCTGCAGCGTGCGAACGAGCGGCTTAGGTTCGGCGACGACGGGCGACAACGGCTTCTGCAAAACAAACTCACGAGATCCTACTAACATCCACAAAACCCGCTAATATAGGGGCCTTAACAGTTGGAATAGGGTTTGGGGTATATTATGCTATAATTATACTACTGAGCCCCCCCAACCCTATTCTAAGTATTAACGCCCCTACGTTAACCCTCCCTATTGTAAGACGGTCAAGGCATCCTGAAGCCAGAAGACATACTTCTCTCAAGTTAAATTCCCCAAAAGGCCTAAATTCACCTTCCCTAAAGCCAACAGCTTGTATGTTCGTAACCTGAAATTCCTAAGGCCCCCAAACGCGCAAAACCACAAGACTTAGAGCGCTCTGTCCTCTTGCCTGATTGAAGGCGCACAAACGCTCACAAACTTGTACATCGAGCGAATATAGAAGCCGATAAACAGTTTCAAGTTTCCCGTCGTCTACTTGTACCCTGGATCTACCTGCTTCGCGGCACAACACTCTCCACACCTTCACCTAAGTTCTCAAGCCTATTAGACTTCCAACCCCAATCAACCTGTACGCTAGAGCCCTTGCAAATCCCTTATGAAGCCCTCATGGCAAAACCTTCTTAAAGCCCTGATAGAACTCCTGGAAGCCTCTATGCGCAACTGTACCAACCAAACGTTATTCAATCCCCTCAGAACTCCGAAGCCCATGTTTAACCTCTCACAGCCCCTTGCCCCTAAAAGCCTGCAAGTTCCCTCCAACAGCACCCCCCGGTAGAACCTCATAGGAACTCTGATAAGAGCCCTTAAATTAAAGGCATCCCTTTACGCCCAATATCCTGGCCCAAAAATGTTCAACCTTTCTTCTAGGGGTCTAACGTATCAAAAAGTTTTCAGTTTACCTATTAGGCTCCTGAGCATCCCATAAAGACCCCTTCAGTCGCCGAGGCGCGGGTCCACCAGCGACGGCATCGGGGCCGAGGGCTGGGCCGGCCGGTCGTAGCGCGCCGAGTCCGAGCGGGAGGAGACGACGGAATCGGAATACTGGGCTTCCTGATAGCAATCTGTATAGCTTGTGTATGTTGGGTTTATATCTATGTAGACATACACATAGTTACAATTACTTGCAAGTTTATATGTTAACCAAGTATGTGCATGTATAATCACAACTAACAAAAATAGGTAGTATAGATGTAGGTATGTATATGTGTACGTGTATATATATATATATATATACATGTGTGTGTGGGGATATCTATGTACCAAAGCGGACTTGAGGGTTCAGGATGTGGGATAGAACCTCCTCCTCCGTGTCCGGGCCTTCTACAGTACCAGTAGTTTCTAGTCCCTGGGACCTATAGTACTTGGGACTGGGATTCGCTTTTGAGCCTTTAGGGTCAGGCACAGTCTGTGGGGCTGTGGAATGGAGCTGAAGAACTGTTAGAAGTTTACTTGGCGAAACGTCTTCCCTAATTCTTGATGAGCTGTTATGGGGGGGGGAAGGACATGAGGTTCGATATGCTGAATGTCTTGGTGCGAGGACAGCCTAAGCGGTATGTTGATACATGCCAGCCAGGGGAACTCTGGACTTGCTACGATTACCATAACCATGTATGCAACATTTTAAACAGATGTGCTGCTTCTCATCTATGTTCGTATCTTTTCCCGAGCATCTATTCCCAATTGGGAATTTCATTGCCGTCTTCCTCTGGTGTCTTCCCTACCCCAGTGAGGAACATACTCAGCAGTAAATCTGGCGGTTGGTAAGGCCGAAAAGACATGGGCATTGCATTGTGGGCTTCAGCCTTAAAGAGTGGCTGCCTGCAAGATCTTGCAGGCAGGCGTTGGCGGCAGCTTGACAGTGGCTTCGGTGGTTCGGGAGCTTTGTCGGGTCTCACAGTGACTGCAGCATCCTCTCCTTCGATTAAAAAGGCCGCAAGGAACTGCAAATTTTGCAAACCACACCTCCGAACTACGTACGAACTGGGACACCCTAAACCCTAAACCGCCCTGAGCCCTGCACGGACCGCGATGCAGGGGCGCCCCAGGCCGAGAATTTCTGTGTGGAGCGGTCGTGGGGGAAGGAGCCCTGAGAACGATGACACGGCTTTTTCGGAAGTTGACATGTGTCTGTTGAGGATTCTGAAGGTTTAAAGCTTAAAGGGGTTATAGGGATCCTGGGCGACTCTGGCGTTTCGAAAATGGGCGCTGCCAGGTTCCAGTGGGGGTTCCAGGGTCTTGCAACACATCATCAGTCAGGGAAAGCGTAGGGAAGCTTTTTGTAGTTGCAGGGTTATACTGGATCTTTGTGCAAGAGAGATTCTTCGTTGCTGTGTACGAGGTCCAGGGCCAGGGTGATGTCCAAAAAGGTTGTTGCTTCTTTGCTTCGTCATGACAGTGTTCTGGGCTTAAGGTTGCTGACATCCAGCTCCCCTTACCATTTGAAGGCCCTGAACCCAAACCCAAACCCAGATCAGGCTGCATGACTGCCTTTGTTTGTCCAGCGGCCAAAGAAGCTTGAAGCGTGTGGATTGCTTGAGACAGCTACTCCGCAAGAAATAAACAAATACAAGGGTGGTCAATTCCCAAGGTCAAAAAATAGAATCCCCGGTTTGAAGTATCTGAATGAGGAAGCAGGGGAAACATGCGTCACAGGGGTAACGGCTCCACAGGGTTTCTGTATATGATGTGCGTCAAAGCGCTACTGCACGCATAAGCTTTTGTTTTGGTAGACATCATAGGCTTCAGCATGAGTCCCAAACCGCACAGAGTTGAACACAAACAATGAACTGAACGCCCCAACCCCGAATTGTAACCGCCAAGCCCTACCCCTGAACCCTTCAAAGGTCCTACAGACCCAAACACCCTCAGAACCCAAGAAGCCGGCAAACACCACCCCCCCCTCCCAACAAAAACAAAACAAAAACAAAGCATAATTCCTGCAACATCACCGGCGCCTCTGCCTGGGGAATGCGCATGGTACGGCCGGGGTCCTGCATAAAGGCTCCCCTTGATTGGTTTCGCTCCGACATGCCAGGCTCTGACGGTTTAGGGGTGTACAAAAGCCGGCGTGATACATTGATGTGGGGGTTTAGGGGTTTAGGGTTTAGGGTTTTCAGGGTTTAGGGCTTAGAGTGTTGTGCCTAATTGGCTCTGAATGATCTGCAAGTCTACTCGACATTAACGGTTGGATATTATCAATACTCAAGGTCTAATGCACACAAACTTTCGTACCAGATCTCCTTTCTTCTTGGGCATTATATTTAGTGGAAAGCTCCCTTTCAGAGGTCTACATTACGTATCTTGCGGGTTGAGGGTTCGCTGGTTTAGGTTGGGGTCTAGGCACGGAATACCTTCGAAATTTCGACGATAAGGTACCTTGAGGGTTTCGGTAAACATCCTCAGCGCCCTGGGCACTGCAGGTTCTAGGTACCTTGAAGGTGTAGTGACGTGTCGACGTCCTTGAAAGGTCAACAGACATTTTTGATTCCACTTGGCTAGGACAAAAGCTGCAATGCAGATTAAACATGAGGCTGGGAATCAGCAACAGCAAGGATGGTCAGAGGATGGCATCACGGCTATTACTCTGCGAGTTGCCGGACCTTTAGTTCATGGTGCAAAGCTCACACCCGCGCCGTGTGCTATTGGTGCGGCGAGGTCTACAGACAGACACTGGTATATCAAGCTCACACCATCGCATACCTGGGCTTGTGTCTGGATGGTAACAGCCCATGAGGGCACTAGCGAAGACACACTCACCTCTCTCTTGTCAGACACCTCGTTACCCAATGAAAGATAGCACTGTGGGTTGTGGACCACGAAATTATGCGTAGGCAGCGCCTTCACACGGCTTCGCATCACCGCCCATGAAACACGAGAGGCTCATGTCCGGATATGGGAGTTTCCGAAAATAAGGGGACCCTTATATTGGGGTCCTTATAATAAGGATCCTCCTATTTGGGGTACTAGCCCTATTTTGGGAAAGCCCCATATTATGTAGTAACCGGAGACTTGGAACAACACACCCAAGCCATCCAGGTTGCAATACTCGGTGAGATCCTATTCTCAACACCCGGAGGGTACATCCTGCCGGAACCGCTACGGCCTGAAAAAGCCCCCAAATGTGCAACTGTGCTCAGCACCTACAATCTCAAACGCCCTAAAATTTATTCCTGAGACCCTCGAAGTCTTGCGCAACTGACCCGCGACGACTCTTCCAAGAAGGAAAGTCGTGTACAATCGCTTTGTCCTGAAAGACTACCCAGGGCCTCCCCCTCCCCCACCTCAGAGCCCCTTCCTAGAGAGATCTGGAAAAGCCGGACCAACATCCCCGTCTGGTTGCCATACACTCTGTACTCACGTGTGCTAGAGCTTCAGCACAATCCCACTCTAGTTATACTTTCACATCCTATATATAGAAGCATCGACTATGTTCCTCGAGGTAACTGAACACACCTGAAAGCTAGTCTACAGAATACCTACGCCTAAACGCCAACAACTACCGCCCACAAGCCCCCATCCAAAACTTAAAGCGCCATATGCAGCTTTAGAAATCTTAGAAGTAGCTCTATCTCTAACCCAAAGGCCTCGTAGCTGTACTCAGCCATGGAGCCCTGAGGCTTGGAGGGTTCGGCATGCCAGGAACAAAGGTTCAGGGTGCAGGATTTACGGAGTGCAACAACACACATGTATACAAGTACAAAAGAATTGGGCTTAAGACTTACGAGTTTGTTTGGTGTGTAGAGGTTTAGGGCTTGGAACGAAAGTATGGCAAAATACAAGTACAAATACATTTTAGGGTTTTCTCACCTGCCCAGCTGACAAAGTCGCATCGCAGGGCGTTTCGGACTTCAGAGTTCAGGGCTTAAGTTCATAAAGTGGGGCTTGGGGGCCTGGTGTTTGGTGTGTAGGGGCTCAGGGTTTAAAGGGTGTCCCTCCATGCCGAGGCCGAGACAAGGGAATGCCCACTAAGCCCAGAACAAAGGCCCAACCCTCGTCTTTTCAAGGACCTCTTAACTAGCATCAACAGATCAGGGTCCCGACTATTTTCCAGAAATATAATCAAATTAAAAAATATAAGAAAAAAAGAAATAATCTTCAACTAATCCTCTCCAGAATCAAACATGACTTCTTCGCTTCAGGGCTTGGCCAAGCCGATGCACCTGGAACCTCCTCACAGGAATTAGGCTCAAAGAACCCATATGTCCGGGGCCACGCTTCAGGTTTCTCCATTCCTACGCCCAGAACCCATGAGTTAGGCCAACATAGCCATAGCTCTGCCTCTAAAGCCCAAGCCCACGCCGGCTCAAGCAAAGGGACTTACACCCTTAAGCCCAATACCCTGGCCCAAAAAAGTTTAAACTTCTCTTTTAGTAGGGGTTCAATATACTTCTTAAAGTTTACCTATTGGGCTACAAACCCTAAACCCTGAACCCTAAACCCGGGCTCCTAAGTAAAGGCTTCAGAGGGCCTCATCCGGATAGCCGCTCCCATCCGTTTCGTAGCCCTCGTAGCCCGTGCCAGGACTCCAAAGGGACGTCCTCATTGCTCAGTGAGGGTACGGGGTCAAGATTTGGGCTATTTTCTAAATTAGGGTCCCTTTTAGGGTCCTTTTTTTAAGGGTGCCGTACTATATTGGGGACCCAAAAAGGGACCCTAATTTAAAGAACTACCCATTTCAGGGCTTGGGGTGTAGTCCTACACACCATGCGATCCCTCAACCCAGAGTCTGATCTCACTCAACACAGGAAAATGCCTGGCATGTCCTTGCATATGGATCCCTACAGTTTCAGGGACATTCCAAGTTGAAGGGTATCGGGCTCTCTGGGAACCCTACTTGCTCCCTGAACCCAATATGGATTCTGACGTCCTGAACAGCTGTATATACACATATAGCTACTTATGCATACATACATACGTTCTTCTATATGTATGCACGACTATCCATGTAGGTGTGCAGATTTGTGCAATTATGTATGTACTAGTGGCCATAACACCAACATCACACTACGCTCTATGTACAGGTAGGGGTCCCGGACTCCTAGGGTTTACAGACGCGTGCAGGGTTTGGCGGAAACCTAAGCCCAACCTGAACCTGATACTATCTTGCTGTCATCGCTGCCGACCTCACAGTGAACCGCATGGCGGCTTTTCCCCTGGAAGCCTCAAATGCCTTGAATCCTATATATAGATGACCGATTCAAGGATTTGCCTTACGCGTCATGCCAGAATGCATGTCCTTATTAGTATCTCCGGGGGCCTTCACAGTATTGGTAATCTTGTTAAACTCCCGTATTACACTTCTTCAATGGGTGCAAACCAGCTGTCTACTGTAGTGCCTATGTTCACATGTCTATCCTGAAACCAAACATGTTCAACCACAACGCCGCTAGCATCCGTCAACCCGAAACCCTGAGCCCAAAAACCCAACATATGACTTCAATTTCTTTCTTGCAACAACTTCAATCCCTAAACCCTAAGCCCGTTTTTCACAAGGGACCCGATTGCTGCCCTAGATCCCTAAACCCTCAACCCTAAAACCCCTACTTTGCGTAAATCCAAAACCCCACAGGATCAGGGCTTGCCTTGGAGGCGACAGGCCTCTCAGGAACGCACAGGTGCAGGGGCTTGAGGGTTTCGGTCGCGATTTAACCGGTGAACAATACTTCTTTTCCTTAGGGTTCCTTGTTATATAATTATACTAGAAAGGAACCCCAATCTCTATTCCAATGCTGAAGGCCCGTATTCATATTAGGTCTGTGGTCGTCCAGGTCGCATGGTTCCTTGGGGTACTTTCGCAAATGCCCCCCGTCACCCTTTTCGATAAAGTTTTCTTTTTGGAACGTCCCTTCTCTGTCTCGCATGATCCGGGAGGCGGTTTTCCGATGAGGTTTAGGGTTTAGGGATAAACTTTCAAGGCTGCAGCGATCCCTTAGAGCCTAAAGCCACCTTCGCACCCCAAACACCTCATAAACCCTAAACCCTAAACCGTGTCATAAGCGATGCCCGGAAAGACCCGAAGAGCCATCCCACAGTCCTCAGAAGCCCGAAACCCCATAGTCGTTCCTTTTTTGGGATTCCCTAATAGGATTCTAAATATGAACCCCAAAAAGGAACTACTTTAGGGCCTTTGGGTAAACCCCAAACTGCCTGAACCTGACCCTTTCAGCCTCTGAAATTCCATTCCAATTCATACCGGCGCCTCGGAAATCGGAAGCCTCAAACTTCCCAATAAATACCAATATAGGGGGGGGGGGCCCTTAATAATTTCAATAGGGTTTTGGGGTAGTATATTCTACTACAATTATAAGAAGGAACCACCAAAATAGTATAGGTGTTTAGCAAGGCCCCTATATTAAGACTGCAACCCTGACACCACGAGGGGAGCATTGTTTTAAAGGAGGGGCCTAAGTATATTTTTTGGGGGTCCCTTGTTATAGTTATAATATAAGGGGCCCCAAAACCCTGTTCTACCCTGTTCTAATTATTTACGCCCCTATATTCAAACCGTATAGTACTCCTTATAGTAACCCCTTTAAAGGAACCCTTAAAAGAACCCTATTCTTTGGGTGCTTCCCCGCCCCATTAACAGTGACCACAAGATGAACCACAACGAACAGCACAAGAAAATCTGGCGAGTTCATCGATTTTCTAAATTTCCAACACGACAAGCCCCGAGACCGTGCTTCCCCTTCCTGCAAAGTCGAAATCGGCAGAACGCAAGGCC